TAAGCGTCCGACTTCAGCCAGGTCACGATCTCGCGGTCCGTGAGTTCGAGCCCCGCGTCAGGCTCTGGGCTGATGGCTCGGAGCCTGGAGCCTGTTTCCGATTCTGTGTCTCCCTCTCTCTCTGCCCCTCCCCCGTTCATGCTCTGTCTCTCTCTGTCCCCAAAATAAATAAACGTTGAAAAAAAACAAAAAACAAAAAAAAACCCATTGTTTCAGCCACTTGGGGGCAGGAGCTGGCTGGGGATAAAGGCTTGTGCCAGCTCCCAGGAAACCTTCGGTGCCCAACTAAGAAGCTTCCACTGTTGAGTCTTCTCCTAATTAGCCACCATGGATTAAGTCTAGTTGTCTGTTAGTTTATGTGATGTCTCCATATCCTCACAACTTCTCAAGGGAAGGATTGTCTTCCCCATTTATAGTTGAAGAAATAGGCTCCGAGAGGGAAAGTAACTTGCCCCATGTCGCACAGAGCTGCAGTTTCAACCCAAGTTTTAGAGACTCCAAAGCTTTTTGTGGTAACTGTCATACTTTGTCATTGCTGCTTACTTTGTCATTGAGGTCCCCAAGAACCAAGAGAGCTTTGAGCAAGTGCCAGGGTCAGGGCAGGGTGATGTCCTGTTTTGGGTAGGCATACCCAGGCAAGATGTCTCCCCAGCTACACGATGAGCCTGGGCAAGTCTGTCTCAGCCACCTCCTCTGTCCTCTGATGGCATCCTCCTTGCCAGGACCAGATGCCAGCAGAGTTGACAGCCTCAGGGGAACCCCAAACCACCAGGGCTCTCCCAGGCCCGGCAGAGTCAGGGTGGAAAGGAGAAGAACGGAAATGAGGGAGGATCTTTTGGGAGCAGGGGGAGCGATCTGGGGAGTTTCTCTCCCAAGGTCAGCGGACCGTTAGGGTCAAAACCAGAAGGGCCCTTAGAGGTCATGTAGTCCAGTGACCTCTTATGTATGGAGGAAGGAGCTTGAGACCCAGTGGGGAAGGTGGCCCGCCCAAAGTCACCCAGGAGTCTGTCATACTGTCAACCTCTTAACTCCCAGGCCAGTGGCAACAGGGCAAAGTGAGGGGCTTTGATGGGACAGGTGGCGGAGAAAAGCAGAATGACTGCTTGGCTTTGCCACCTACCTGCTGAGTGACCTTGGGCAAGTCGCTTCCCTTCTCTGAGCCTCGTGGTCTCTTTCTTCAGAATGAGATAATGGTCTCAGCCGTGCCTTTCTGCCAAGGAGTATCCATGAGAGGTGCACTTGGAAAGCTCTTTCCAATCTGCAGGGCCCCGGGAGAGGAGTCACCAACAAGAGGCAGGCTGGCGCCAGGTGGGTGGGTGCCAGGGTTGGGCCCGCGGCTTCCTGGGTTTCTGCCCAAGCCCTGCCATCTGCGCGGTAGCGTCAGCCCCACCTCCTCCTGCCTCCCCGCCAGGAGAAAGGCTTCTAGGATCTTCTCAATCACAACCCTCCCTGTCCCTTCCCAGCCAGATCCCCTCCGCTCACCTTCTCTTTTAGGTCAGGACTTTCGCTTGCAAGGGACGGAAATCGCAAGTGCAAGGAGGGAGAATTAGTTTTCAGCGATGGCTAGATCCTGAGACCGGAAATGACGTTACCAGGACACTCACCTCGCTTGTCCACTCTGCTTCCCTCTCTGCCCCTTAGCTTTGGGCTGCTTCCTCAAGCAGGCTGTCCCTGTGAGATGGCAAGGACATCCACCAACAGCTCTGGGTGACACCATGCCCGTTCAGATACCCTGGCAGCTAGAGGGTATCTCTGTCCCAGTTACTCCAGCAACCATCCACAGTGACCGCCAGGGGCAGGCACGGGGACGAGTGTCCATCCCTGCACGGATCCCCGTGTGCCGATTATTTGGTCAGGACTGGGTCCTGAGCCTTCCGCTGAAATTAGAGGTGGGCTCAGCCCCACCCAAACCACATGAACTAAGGGTCTGGAAGGTGGTTCCCAAAACAAAGACCAGAAAAAGAGGTATTGGGCAATCAACAACAATGGATTTCCCTGGCACCTTTGTTCTTCTCTTTTTTTTTTTGTTTGTTTGTTTATTTATTTTGAGAGAGAGTAAGCAAGCACAACGGGGGGAGGAACAGAGAGAGAGGGAGAGAGATAATCCCAATCAGTGCAGAGCCTGATGCTGGGCTTGAACTCATGAACTGTGAGATCATGACCTGAGCTGAAATCACGAGTCCGACACTTAACCTCTTGAGCCACCCAGGCACGCTGGCACCTTTGTTCTTAAGTATAGCAGCTGCAAGGTTGAACCGGGGCTACTGGGAAAGGGAGTGCTGATGGGGTCCTATATATCAGTTAGCTTCTGCTGGGTAACAAATCATTCCATGACAGCAGTTTAAAACAACCATTTTATCGAGCTCATGATTCTGCAGATCACCTGGGAGATTTTTCTGGTCTAGGTACGTGTCTTAGGTCAGTTGCTGGGTTGGTTAGCGGAATGATCTAAATGGCCTCACACGTCTGAAGGTTGATTGGCTGTCAGCTAGGGCGCCTTGGTTCTCCTCTCAGGCTCCGGGTGGGCACCCGGGCTCTTTCACGTGGTGTTCTCTGTGTTACACGCGTAGCAGGTGGGCAAGCTCCAATGCACAAGCATTTTGGGGGTCTTCACTTGCATTGGGCTTGCTAAAGTCCCATTGGGCAAAGCGAGTCACATAACCATGCAGAGTTAGTGTGGGACGGCATTGTCGAAGAGCATGGAAACATGGAGAGGAAAAACTTGAGGTCAATTTTGCAACCCATTACAGTTCCCTGGGCGAAGGAGAGTAAAAAAAAAAAAAAAAAAAAAAAAAAAAAAAAAAAAAAAAAAAAAATCCCTTTCTCTGCATCCCACGGATCCCATGGGCCAGGGCAACCTCCAGACAAGAGTCCTTGGAAGAAGGGGCTTCAGGACTTCTAGCCCTTCAGGGCTATGGCTCAGCCCTTGGCCAGAGCTGGGAGGGCGGGGAGCAGTCTGGATCCTAACTCCACCTGCTCAGAGCCCCACATGGGGCAGGGGCAGGTACTAGTGGGCAGAGCCTCTTGGCTCTGAAGGTGTTCTGTACTGTGGTTCCCTTCTCCCGTTAGCCCTCCCCGAAGTGATGATCAGGGCTCAGTCTCAGCCGGCCCCCACAGCCTTGCCCTCACTCCCCCTTATCCCTGTGGTCTTGCAGAGTTAGGATGATGCTAAGACTCGTGTACAGTCAGGCCGTGGTGCCCCATCACCACGGTAGGTGGCGTCACCCGCTCCACAAGGTCAAGGAGGAATCCCTTCCCTTCCCTTTAGTCCCTGGCCTTCCCTTGTCCCTGTGGCCTCAGCCTGCTCTTTCCCACAGGTGGCTGCACTGGAGAGGCAGATCTTTGACTTCCTGGGCTATCAGTGGGCTCCTATCTTAGCCAACTTCCTGCACATCATGGCCGTCATCCTGGGCATCTTCGGCACCGTGCAGTACCGCTCCCGGTACCTCATTCTGGTATGGCTCACTTGCCCCTCCCCCTCCCCCTCCCCCACCCCCACCCCCCGCTGGCTCCTCCAGCCAGAACTGCCCCCTACCCTGGACACCCAGACCCCTGCTCTGCCCAAATACCAATGCTTCTTTGCTCAGCAGAGAGACAAGAGCGGTATTCTCCCTAAAGAATTTCCTAGGGAAAAATCCAGATATTAACAAGATATATCATTTTAGTGAGTGCCTACCATCCGCCAAGCACAGTGCTGAGAGTTTCGCACGTTTTGCTTATCTTTACAACAGCCCTGCAAGGTATGGCTTACCATCGCCGTTTTCCAGATGAGGAAATGAGGCTCAGAAAGGTTATGAGGCTTCCTAAGGCCACACAGCTAATCAGTGGCAGGATTAGAGAGCAATCGGGTCCGGGGTGAACGCTCTTGACACATCTTCACGCTGCCTCCGGAAGCCAGTGGAGGGACAGACTTCATCTGGTTTAGTTCCTCAGGTTGCTTTAGGAAGACCTGCCCTTTGCTGTTCATGAGGAATATGGTCTCGAGCGGCTAGTGTGGCTTGAGGTCAGTGTCCCCTGTGCTCCGATCCCAGGCGTGGATTGTGTTGTGTCCCTGGCTCCCTCCTCCTGCTTCCTCTTTCCAAGCCCTGGTCCTTGATGGTCTCTGCTAAACCCCTGATTTCAGCTAGGCTCACCCTTCTCCCCTGCTCTTCCTCAGTGGCCCATTCACACGCCTCTTTTGAGGGAAAAGGCTTTTCAGTAGGTTTATTACATAAAATGCTAGCCACTTGTGATAACAGTGCCATGCAACGCCATGCTCCCACCAGAGCCCCCTCTGGCTCATTCTTGGGCTTCTCCCACCTCCCACGGGCTGAGCTCCCGGAAGCCAAGTGAACAGGGCCCTCCCAAAGCTCTGTGTCATCTGGGATGGGAGGCTCCTTCTCTCTGGCTCTGAGGAAAGCCCCAGGTACCACTCTAAGCATCACTGTCTGCCGTGTGGGGGCACGGAAATTGCAGGCATGGGACTTGGGTGGAAATATCTAGATCCTCTCCAGCGCTCCAGAGCCAGGCCATGGCTGCTGTTCTCTGCAGAATGCATCGGATTAGCTGCCCGAGGACTGGAGTTTGAGTGGCAGCCCTATCTCTTCCTCGCTGTGTGATCTCGGAAACCTTAAACCTCCTCTCTAGGGCTTACGTGAGTTATCTTTAAAGAAAGGATAGCGCCTTCCATGCAGGGCTGTTGTTGTAAGAACCGGACGGATATAAAAATGACTTGTGAACTATAAAGTGCCGTCTAAGGGGGATGGCATCATTTCCCCCTGCAAAGGTCCCCTCAGTCCCTGAGCTCTGTCTGCGTTGACATGCCCTGTCCCCACTTTCCCAGGCCCCACCCTGATCCCACCTCTCCTCTCCCCAGTATGCAGCCTGGCTGGTGCTCTGGGTTGGCTGGAATGCATTTATCATCTGCTTCTACCTGGAGGTCGGACAGCTGTCCCAGGTAAGCCTCGGGCCTGGCAGTGCTAGAGGGCAGAGCCGGACCTTTCCTGTCCCCTACCCAAAGGCTCCAAGTTAGGTGTGGGTCTGGGACATCGTCTCTTGAAGAGACTTCCCTCTACACATCCGAATAATCTGCTCCGCAAACCCTACCCCCACATTTTTGTTTGGCCGCCCCTGCACCTGCCAGAAACGAATGATGGAGCAGACAATGCTGAAGGGCCATCTGCATGAAGATGGCCTGGGGTCCCAGGTGATTCCAAGCTCGGTAGAAACCAGCCTCACGTCGTGGCCCTGAAAACTGCTCTCAGGCCCCACAGGTGTTCGGTGCAAGGGAGATGAAAACGCTATGCACTTTGTACGGCTAAGGCCACAAAGATTTGGGCCCAGTTCTTTTTTTTTTCCCCCAAGATTTCATTTTTAAGTAATCTCCACACCCAACCTGGGGCTTGAACCCCCGACCCCAAGATCAAGTCAGATGTTCCACCGACGGAGCCAGCTAGGCGCCCCGATTTGAGTCCCGTTCTGATCAATATTTTCGGAAGAGAAAGAGGGTAGACTTCGGGGACAGTCGAGTGGCCCAGGGCCTGTGCGGAACCACTGAAGAAAGTGGAACTTCTTGGCTTGTAGAAGAGCAAGCCCAGAGGGCACAACTTCTAACCTTAGACAAAAAGAAGGCAAAATACATGAATGGGAACATTGGCTTTGTAGTTCTGCTGGATTTAAATCCCAGCTCCAACATTTCCAAGTGATGTGACCCTGGGCAAGTGGTTTACCTTCTGAGCTTCAGTTTCCCTGTCTCATGAGTGCAGATAATTACTTCATGTGGTTGCGGAAGGGATGGAATGAGATGACACATCTCAGTGCTTGGCACCTGGTCAGCACTCGGTGAATATCTGTTAACAGGCTGCACGAGTGACTGGATGGGTAAACACATAGACGCCGTGGGTGAGAACCTCGGATCTAAGCCAGGCCCTTCTCCATTTCAGATGGGCCGACCAACAACTAAAGAGAGGAAACGTTTGCCCAGGGTCACACAGAGAGAGCAGTGGAGAGGCTGCATGGGCCATGAAGGGGTCTGTGTTGAGAATTCCGCTCAGGGCTGGAAAATTGGACTCAGTCACTGTTGATGTCCCTTCCATCCCTGAAATGTTGGGGCTTTCTGTGGGTCAGCACCAGCCCTTTCGGTCTCTGAGGGAAGTGTGAGACCTGCATGGTCATCAAGCGCCACCTACTGGCCAAATAGAGACTTGTGGAAACAGACCCCCTTCCAGACCCTTGAAGTCAAGTCAGGAGAGGAGGCTGCTTCAACAGTCCAGGTGTGAAGTAGGCTTTATATAAAGTTCCCTGCTGCCTGGGGAAGATTCCTGCCACCTCGTGGCCCCAGCTCAGTATCCTAGGCCCCTCTGCCCCCAGGACCGGGACTTCATCATGACCTTCAACACGTCCCTGCACCGCTCCTGGTGGATGGAGAATGGGCCAGGCTGCCTAGTGACACCTGTCCTGAACTCCCGCCTGGCCCTGGAAGACCACCATGTCATCTCTGTCACCGGCTGCCTGCTTGACTATCCCTACATCGAAGCACTCAGCAGTGCTCTGCAGATCTTCCTGGCTGTGAGTCCTCCTGTCCCCCTGACCCACACACTCCCAGAGGTGGAGTCTACCCTAACCCCTTTGTTTAGCTCTAGTTCAGAAGGGAAGAACCTAGATCTCCCAGCCTTCTTGTGCTTCTGTCTGGCTCTGTCTCCTTATCTTGTATCTTCTCCCTTCACCCCTGCCCCAGCCTGGCGTGAGCAAGTTTAATGACTAGGATGAGTCATCAGACTGTAAGTCAGCCCGATCTCTAGTGTATCTGCTGTGTGACCTTGGACAAGTCACTTGCCCTCTCTAAGCTTGTTTGCTTATTCACAGAATGGAATGACCACATCAAGTGCATAAGAGTTGTGAGAGTGGATCCAAGACAGTTCTGGTTCCTAGTCTTGCCCTCCACACTCCACATGCCCAAAGTCACATACTCCTCTTTCTTCTTAACAAGTCAGTAAAGTATTGCCCAGGTCCAGCTGGGGAAACTGAGGCTCAAAGAGGTAAAATAATTACTTGTCCAAAGTCCACTCGCAGAATGGAGAATGGAACCAACTATGTTTGACAGTAAGGCCCAGTCATTTAACTGGAAGTTGTTACGGGTTGGCCTTCATCTTCACATACCGTGCCCCTCCAGTCGGACAAGGCCCAGCCAGGCAGAGGGTGGAGGAAGAGCTTCTGTCTTCTTTCCTTCCATTCCCAGCTGTTCGGCTTTGTGTTCGCCTGCTACGTGAGCAAAGTGTTCCTGGAGGAGGAGGACAGCTGTGAGTGGGGAGCCCCTAGGGAATGGGGAAGCCTGGCCGCACACCATCCTGTTCCTTCAGCACCCTGGACAGCGCCACCAAGCTCCCTCCAGGGAGAGAGCCCTGGGTTGGCCAACTGGACCCTCTTGGTGGGGGAGAAAAGGCGGCAGGGGTAGTGGGGGTCTACGTAGCACATTTTGAGCTGTGACCTAGACATCCAGGTGCCCAGCCCATGGTTCCAGCGCCGCTCTCTATCCACCTCTCTTCGGTTCTGCCCCCCGGAGGAGCTCCATGAGGCTCACCCCTACCAAACACCTCCCATGCCCAGTCTCTGCCCCCATTAACCCACCACCACCACCACCACCACCACGCACCCACCTCCGTGGTCTTGCCCCCTTACGTGGCTCAAGCCCTGCTCCCTTAAAGGACGGCCTCGCCCCTCCAGGCTCTCTGTCCACTTAGGGCTTTGGCCACTCTGGCTGAGCTTCTCCATGTCCTGTTCCCCATAGGTCCACCTATTGGGATCTGGCAGCAAAGCCTGGCCCTAAAACCCTGTATGGGATCTGGCTCTCAGATTCCTCCTTTTCAGGACCCACCCTCCCATAACTCGCACCCTAGGGGCCCATCCCTAACTATGAGCCACCTCCCCTTCCACAGTCGACTTCATCGGTGGCTTTGACTCCTACGGATACCAGGCGCCCCAGAAGACGTCGCATTTACAACTGCAGCCTCTGTACACGTGGGTCCTGGCGCCTAGTGGGGTGGGGTGGAGGGACCGGGGCGTTGCTGCTGGGGGACGAAGGGCAGGGAGGAGCGGGGAGGGCAGCCGGATCTGCCTGCCCCCATATTTTCGGGGTCCACTTCCCTAACCTGCCTTTGTTTTCTGCAGGTCGGGGTAGCCGCGCTCCCACCCGGGCGCCGCGTGCTTGCTGGCTAGACTGAAGCTGAGGCCACCAGGTCGGGCCCAAATGGCAGGCGCGCCCCCTGGCGGCTAGCGGACCGACTGCAGCCTGCACTGGCTGGGTCCGCCGGACATGGACCTGGCCCTTCGCAGCCCGACTCCAAGGGTGGGGCGGGCCGGGCGGGGGAGGGGATCGCGGGGGTTTGTATTT